GCTTGTTTTTGGTACATACAATAACAATCACTGCGCATGCGCATTGGTTGTTCATTTTTGTTATCCAACGAATATTGGTGCGTGTTCTGTAAACGCAACATTTTAAGTCGATGATAAACCATAGTCCGATTTTGTCCACAGTCATTGGTTAGATGTATTTAAATTGTTATAAAGTCAATATATATTTGTGTGCAGTTATCTTTCAAGTAGTTTGTTATCGGGATTACGTCTGAGTCAGTAATGTCATTTCCAAGTTTAACCAATTTTGTCTTAAATGTCTACAGTGCCCTCAAACACGCATACAATATAATTGCATTTGGTTATTTACAGGTACTAACAGTGAGCACTCTAAGAATGCGAGATATCAGTGTGAATCATCAAGTCACGTGGTCGTAATAAAAATACATGGCTATTATACAAAGGCAGAATAGAATGTGGCGTAAATGTTGATTGCACATGCGCAGCTGTCACTATCGAGACATGTTAAATAAGACGCTAACAGTTTTCCTTGATTTAAAAACGATATAGAAACTAAGATGATGTTATTGCCAGTATACTTATCTTTTGACGTAATGTTACTCTAATATTATCTAACTGATATAATATTGAAGATTATAATATTTTCTACCTGTGTTAATTAATTTCAAGATTTTATGAACAATGTAATGTTTACGCGTATAACCAAGTGTACGTAGTGTGATAGGCGATTAAGATCTCACGATAGTTGAACAAGAGTCACGCAAAATATGCGATATTCACAGAACCCCGCTGCAAACACACATATCCAGAAATTCCAATGCAAATGCGTGAGTCTGTGAAAGAACTGGTTAGTGTTCATCTCAGGATGTTTTGCAAACGTTTGCATGTATGTTATAACGTTATGAATGCGGCCGTGGAGTGGGATCTTCACCGCATATCACCGTACTTACATATCGAAGTTGTTTACCTTCATCTTATAACTAATTGCTATTACTTGTTACATTACGTAACACAGGTACTATCATTCGAATATTGTGTTTATAATATCACATTTTTATTCATAAAGATTAATGTTGAACTTTAAGACTAACAAATGTAGTCCATTCGCTCCAAACTTTGAATATAATAAATGTCACACGTAGTACGTAAATAATATATTATGCGTGTATGGTCTATAATATTGGCTTGATTTTCATTTCCACCCTTTTCAACGAATGGTACAGGCCTTTCCAGTAACGCCAGACGATTCCCTCACTGTGCCGCTTTCGGTTTTCCTTCTTACTAAAATACTGGCCATTCAGGTTGACGAAGTAACATGCTCTGTACCACCAGGCACCGCCATAGACATTTGCACAGTGCGTCGATTCGGACACGTCGTTATCTTGGTCTCTTGTGCTAAACTGGCTACCATTGTGGTAATGCATGGAATCACCTACAATTGAAAAACAATTCAATTAATTTGAACAAGTTGTTTTCCGTCATCAAGCCAATGAATTCAAGTGAATCAGTGTGTGTATGCATGTTTTAAATATTATTGGGTGTCACTGTTATTTATCGTGACCTTTTTTCTGTAATTATAAAATTCTTAACCCTACATACAGTACGTAACAGGGCTGTGCCTTTATCTGTATCAGTCAAATTGTAGTGTCGTTAATCTGGGAGACCAGATCTGTAATTTTCGGATTCGTTTTGAAGAATATTGACTCGGGGTTGGAGTTTAGTTAGGAGACATAACGCCAATGACGAATTGTATTGTGGGTATATGAGTACGTAACGCCCACGAATTCCGCCACTTAACCTAGGTGTTCCTAATTATTGATTCATAAACAATTATTTGAAACATACTAAGCCGTAAATTAAATTAGTCTACCTAGGCTAAAATTCATTCTGGGATTAAAAAAATATCGCAGACTTTAGTCGTCGGAGGCGTTCAGTCAAATTAATATTTTGGTCCTTTTTGTTGAATGGGCTATCCTAATGTCAAACAGGCTTCATGAAACACAGTCACCTGCGGACTTTATCCAAAAATCACAAAAGTCGTAACGTTTTCGGTATTCAACTACAAGGTAGGATGTGAAATTACCTAACGATCTTGACTAACAACTCTACGCTATAGGTCTTCGGTTTGGTGTCAATTACCAGACCGAAAACCAAGTTTTTTTCTTCTTCTAAAAATATCGTGGGCTTATATACAATTATAACATATTACAAAAACAATAATTCATCCCATTGTAGTATGCAAAGTTTTGAAAAATGTGTGCATCTTGAAAATGTCAATCATATTCAGCCCCTAGACCAGAGCTTTTCGGTATGTCAATATCATACGTATAAAAAATAGTAGATAACACATACCGGCTGAACCACTGTACGATCCTATCATCAGCCTGTAGTTATCGGATTCATCTGCGACTTGGAAAAGGTCATAGAGGGCGTATCTTGTTTGACCATCAAAATCTTGTAGGTCAATTCTTAGTTGATACTGACGACCTTGACTCAACATACTGTGTATCTTCTCATTACCCAGCCAGAATTCCCCACTCAGGAATCCAAATCCGTTTTTGTAGTCATCCCAATCGAGGTAAAAGTCTACTGTTCCATCTTTCCGTCTTTGGATAACCTGTGGACACATTACGTAAGATGTTAAGTTTTGTATTACCCCAAAACTGTAACACTGTGCCCTTCCTACGAAATATGCTGAAATAGTATACAGTATGAAAATTCAATTTCAAACTAAAAATGATTTCAACTATATGATTTTTGATCTCAATCGATATTTCAAAAACAGTTCTTCTCTAATATAACATTTGTATACTATGTTTTCTAGAAATAAAATTTAGTTGCGTATTATTGAGTCTAACTAGTATTTTTATTTCACTAATTTTATGTTGCCTTCATCTCTTAGAATCTAATTCGTACGAGTAAATGTATTATTTCTCACCGTCCACCCACCCGCGTCGGTCTCCATATCACAGTATACTTTCATCGATGTTTGATCCGCCATGTAAATACTATAAATTCCACTCCTACAGTGACCATTGTCGAAAACTTCGTTACAGTCTCTTGGTTGCTCATCTGCCGATTCGAAATAACATAAAACAAGGTGACTATTGTTTTAATTAATAAGTCGAGCTTCATTTAAACGTGATGCTAAATTGTTCGAGTCGAGCCCATATTTTCGAAACCACTCTACTTTTGGGAAACAATGAGTTACGATAACAAAAGTTTTTGTTATGTTAACTTTCAAATTTACAAATTTAGCAACTCTAATTTTAAATTAACAGTTAATCGAACTTCGAGTTACGGGAAACATACAATAATAATCAAAGAGAAATTATCTATGTTGTTCGGTTAACTGTTAATTGAAGTTCGAGTTACTAAATGTGGACGTTCAACAAAAACAAAAGTATGTGTGGCCAGTAACTCAAAATTTTGTTAACATGCTAATTAAAAACCGAGTTTCAATTTGGGCGTGGTTTTGCAAAAGTGGGCGTGGTTTTTTAAATATGGCGTGGTAATGTTTGTAACTCAATGTTATCTTAACTCGATGTTCATAACTCGATGTTCATAACACGATGTTCATAACTCCATGTCCATAACACGATGTCCATAACTCGATGTTCATAACTCGATGTCCATACTCGATGTCCGTAACACAATGTTCATAACTCGATGTCCATAACTCGATGATCATAACTCGACTTTCATAACACGATGTTCATAACACGATGTTCATAACTCGATGATCATAACTCGATGTTGATAACACGATGTTCATAACACGATGTTCATAACTCGATGTTCATAACACGATGTTCATAACTCGATGTCCATAACACGATGTCCATAACTCGATGTCCATAACTCGATGTTCATAACACGATGTTCATAACACGATGTCCATAACTCGATGTTCATAACTCGATGTCCATAACTCGATGTCCGTAACACGATGTTCATACCTCAATGTTCATAACTCGATGATCATAACTCGATGTTCATAACACGATGTTCATAACA